AAAATAAAATAAGAATAATTCTACAAAATAAATTAAATTAAATTATTTTTTAATGCATGCATAAATACAAATGTATTTTAAAAATAAAGAAAGAGACAGAGAAAGAAAGAAAGAAAAAAAAGAAATGAAAAAAACAACCCAAACAATATTAATTAACAAAAATCTTACCTGGTGAAGTACCGATGCCGCCTCAGCTTCGGCGCCCTGGAGGAAGAAGAAGTCCCACCTGAGCTTCTGGGTCGTCTTGTGCGTGCCATCTTGGATTTATTATGTGCTTGTACGTTTCACAAGGAACTCTTCTGTTCTTTTGCTGTGTAGAATAAATAATGTACAATACAAAATGAAGATAAGATCATATGATATTAGAGATTTGCGAGAGAGTAGTCTTAAATGTGATACGGTTAAAAGAGATGGGACGAGGTGAGGTGGTATAGTTAAGATAAGATAAAATGAGATAAGATAATACTTTATTATACCAGGGGGAAATTTTTCTAGGCTGTACAGTAGTGTACAGGACCGAAAAAACACATGCAGGTATACATTTAAAAAATTAGATTATATTATTATATTACTCTCATTAAAATTCAATATGAAAAGAAGTAAAGCTGACAAAAAATGTACATTCATATCAGATGCATCATTCTACTACATGCAGGCATTTAGTCACACGACCTTTGGATTTATATATATAGATACACACTCTAAGAGCAACACAGTTGTGAAGTAGAGAGAAGTTGTGTGCGGAGAGATGGGGTGAGGTGAAATGAGATGAGGCGAGACAGTGAAAACAAGATAATACGATAGAGACATAAAGTTAAATGTGCTACTTGATCCGAACCTTAGACAACCCTCCCCCCAAAAAAAGAGCACAAAACAAAATTAAAAACCATCATCTTTTATCTGTTTTGTTTTGATAAAAAGTGTTTTTACAGCGCTCGCAACTTAGGTCATAATAATACATGTATGAGCGCACGGGACACAATTTTCAGTTGGGTAGGAATTAATTTTGATTTTTGCCCGGGTGGCAGCCAAAACCTACACTCCTATCGATTTTGGACCTCCAAGGGATCTTTAACTTGCGCAACGTGCATATCGGACCACCGAGATTGTTCACCCTAGTCCGACAAGGCTAAGTGTTCGATTTTATCTACCTTAAGGTCAGGGGTGAGGCTAAAAGACAGCGCGCGACGAACTTAAGGGGCCAAGGAGAAGCAGTAGTAAGGCTGCAGAAAGAGTCGTGCGCCTAGAGGAGGGGGCAAAGAGGAAAATTTTAAAAAATATATATATAAATCTATCAGATTTGGTCTGGGTATGCAATTTTGCCGCACATTTAAAATTCATGTCAGGGATACAAAGTATGGTGAAGTATAGACCACACATGCCACGAATCCAGCCATATTAACTAGTGCATTATGCTTCAGTCCCAGTTGACCTCTCCTGGGATTAAACAAACTTTGGACAGTCTCTAAAAATAAGGCCCCACATCACATTTAATGATAATATTACTACAATGTCTTTCCTAAGGGCCTTATTATAAACTACGAATAGAATCTTTGAACAAACTGCTTGTCAAAATTGGGGTCACTTTATGGAAATAATACGAAACCACGCTATTTTTGGCAACGTAATGAACGGTAATGAGAGAGTTTCAAAAGCAATTTTTATTTAATATGGTTTTTCTCTGGGGTCAGAGTGACACAAACGGGCAGCGAGACAAAGACGAACACAGCTTCAGCTTAGACGTCACTACAAGCACATCGAACAGTGACGTATCCAATCTGTGGTGGTGAAAACAGGCAACCAAACTAGTCCTGGAACAACTTGACCGGGATATTTAAAGCCTATTTAAAGCCTAAAAGGGCTTTTCATGTTACCCTGACCCGACTTTAGAAACCAAAGGGACATTTTTTTTAAAATACCGCTTTTATAGCGGCTCATGTTGTTCTTCCTGTATAACTGGAGGGCTTTCATAAAATCCCAGAATTTAAAGGAATAACCCTGGGCTCTAGGGTTCGCTTCCGTTGGAAATACACAAAACTCACTTCAAAAGCAGAGGAAACTTGTTGAAAATGCTTCAATTAAAAAAAAAAACCCTACCAGACGAAAGCTCTTTAAATTTAATACCCTTACAAAATTTAGACTAATCCTCATAAAAAAGCTTTACATGAGACAAAGTTAGCTCTACAGGCATTATTCTACAAAAACGTGTCGGGTTTGACACATCGCGACATGTGTGGGCTGAGACCTCGTGTGAAAAAAACCCAAACCAAGAAGCAAAACAAAACCTGGAATTATTTGATACGGCTTTGAGCATTTATGAACGAGTGGTATGGGAGAAGCGTTGCAATAACTGCAAAACACAGTGTTCCTGTTGTCGAAACAGAAAAAAAAAAGAAACTCAAGTTTAAACATCCACGGGTGTCAATCATTCCGTCCGTCTATCTGTCTGTCTCTCCCTCCCTTTCTCCCTCACCTCTGACTCTCCCCCTCTATATATCATTCTCCCTGTTCGTGTCCCATCGGGGTGATATTTTGATATTACCACTCTGTGAACCCTTATAAAGAACACTGTGACATGCG